AATCTGGAGCAGATGGACTGACATAGTGTTAACCAGATACATTCAATCTGGAGTAGATGGACTGACATAGTGTTAACTAGATACATTCAATCTGGAGTAGATGGACTGACATAGTGTTAACCAGATACATTCAATCTGGAGTAGATGGACTGATATAGAGTTAACTAGATACATTCAATCTGGAGTAGATGGACTGATATAGTGTTAACTAGATACATTCAATCTGGAGTAGATGGACTGACATAGTGTTAACTAGATACATTCAATCTGGAGTAGATGGACTGACATAGTGTTAACCAGACCAATCAGGACTAGATAGTGATGATACGGGTCAATCGGATTTGGTTAATCTTAAGTAGATAATGTCACTGTAGAGTAATAGGTGTCACACTATGTGTCAACCAGATTCATTCACTGTAGAGTAATAGGTGTCATATGTGTCAACCAGATTCATTCACTGTAGAGTAATAGGTGTCATGATATGTGTCAACCAGATTCATTCCCTGTAGAATAATAGGTGTCATGATATGTGTCAACTAGATTCTTTCATTGTAGAGAAATAGGTGTCATGATATGTGTCAACCAGATTCATTCACTGTAGAGTAATAGGTGTCATATGTGTCAACCAGATTCATTCACTGTAGAGTAATAGGTGTCATGATATGTGTCAACCAGATTCATTCACTGTAGAGTAATAGGTGTCATGATATGTGTCAACCAGATTCTTTCATTGTAGAGTAATAGGTGTCATGATATGTGTCAACCAGATTCTTTCATTGTAGAGAAATAGGTGTCATGATATGTGTCAACCAGATTCATTCACTGTAGAGTAATAGGTGTCATGATATGTGTCAACCAGATTCTTTCATTGTAGAGAAATAGGTGTCATGATATGTGTCAACCAGATTCATTCACTGTAGAGTAATTGGTGTCAGATTTAGTTACACTAAATTAGATAGTGATGATACGGGTCAACCAGATTTGGTCAATCTGGAGTAGTTAGTGTGCAGTTATGTGTCAACCAGGCCTATCTGGACTAGATAGTGCTGATATGTGTCAACCAGGCCTATCTGGACTAGATAGTGCTGATATGTGTCAACCAGATACAGTTTATATGAAGTACATGTAGGTAATGTGATGCAATGATTGACAAGGTTGTTGCACAGTATCCGAGTAACTGAATAGAAATTTAATCAAGTTTTCTAATAATCAATATCACATGTGTACTATGATTAATTGTTTAGGCATGTAGTGTTTATGCTGTTTGTACTGAATATTCAGTGTTGTAGTGTTAATATATTGGTAGTGTTTGTGCCTCTTTATCATTGTAATGATTTTTTTCTTAATTCAAAATTGATCTTGTTCATCAACAAGAAGTATTCACACTTCTAATATTTTTCATTTTTATGACAAAAGCATTTTCTGGTGTGAATAACAATATATAATCAATTATCTAAGATGAACGGGAATGGCATTCTTGAGCTATTGGCAAGGCCATCTGGGTTAATATGTTTACATAGATGTAAAAGATTGTTGAAACTAAATTTAAATATTGGGATTTGAAATAAACAGTATTGTTGTAATAATCCTGCTCTTATTTGTTCATCTCATTGCAATAAATCTGAGAAGTAACGAGAACAACCTAAAAGTAATTATAGTATTCATTTGAATCTGAAATTGGATATTTGTTGACCTTGAGTGTAACTTTAAGTAGACTGTGTGCGTCTTGATAGCAAGATTCATTAGGCTCCCAGCTTAGTATTGATTACTACAAAAAAGTCAAGGATTTATCACTTGTCAAATGATAGGTGATTTACACAATCTCACAAAAGAGATAGTATAGGTTGAAACTGGGGAAATTTAATTGTAACTTTCCAGGCAGTGTAATCAAGCCATGTAAGTGAAAATGGTATTGTTTTTTATCGTTTCACAGTTCCATTATATTTGGCCTGTCATTTAGCAGTGTACATTGGTATTGATCTGACCGTATGTGGCTATAATGCCTAGACAGATATGTAAAACATTCTCCTACATCAGGCTACTGCTTCAACAGCCAGTCAGGCATGCTAGGTCTAATGGACATCTGGAACAGGGGTTATATTCAAGATGGGGTGGGGGCGCGATCTTTAATATGGGGCAGGGACAACAATTAACCAAGGCACAGTCTGTGGCATATCACCTGAGAGAAGGGGTATACATACTACAGTCCAGTCATATCTCTTGAGGGAGAGGTTAAGGGTATACACACTCAAGTCAGGGACATATCTTCTGATGGTGAGGGTATACATACTTAGGTCAGGGACATATCTTCTCAGGATGAAGATATATACACTTAAGTCAGGGACATATCTTCTGATGGTGAGGGTATACACACGTAAGTCAGGGACATATCTTCTGATGGTGAGGGTATACACACACTTGAGTCAGGGACATTTCTTCTGATGGTGAGGGTATACATACTTAAGTCAGGGACATATCTACCAGGATGAAGGTTTACTCACATTTAAGTCAGGGAGATATCATCTGATGGTGAGGGTATACACACTTAAGTCAGGGACATATCCTCTGATGGTAAGGGTATACATACTTAAGTCAGGGATATATCTTCTGATGGTGAGAGTATACACATTTAAGTCAGAGAAATATCTTCTGATGGTGAGTGTATACACACGTAAGTCAGGGACATATCTTCTGATGGTGAGGGTATACACACACTTAAGTCAGGGACATATCTTCTGATGGTGAGGGTATACATACTTAAGTCAGGGACATATCTTCTGGTGGTGAGGGTATACATACTTAAGTCAGGGACATATCTTCTGATGGTAAGGGTATACATACTTAAGTCAGGGACATATCTTCTGATGGTGAGGGTATACACACATTTAAGTCAGGGACATATCTACTGATGGTGAGGGTATACATACTTAAGTCAGGGACATATCCTCTGATGGTGAGGGTATACACATTTAAGTCAGGAACATATCTTCTGATGGTGAGGGTATACACACATAAGTCAGGGACATATCTTCTGATGTATACACACATTTAAGTCAGGGACATATCTACTGCGTGTGAGGGTATACATACTTAAGTCAGGGGCATATCTTCTGATGGTGAGGGTATACACATTTAAGTCAGGGACATATCTTCTGATGGTGAGGGTATACACACTTAAGTCAGGGACATATCTTCTGATGGTGAGGGTATACATACTTAAGTCAGGGACATATCTACCAGGATGAAGGTTTACACACATTCAATTCCGGGACATATCTTCTGGTGGTGAGGGTATACACACTTAAGTCAGGGACATATCTTCTGAGGGTGAGGGTATACATACTTAAGTCAGGGACATATCCTCTGATGGTGAGGGTATACATACTTAAGTCAGGGACATATCTTCTGATGGTGAGGGTATACACATTTAAGTCAGGGACATATCTTCTGATGGTGAGAGTATACATACTTAAGTCAGGGACATATCTTCTGATGGTGAGGGTATACATACTTAAGTCAGGGACATATCTTCTGATGGAGAGGGTATACATACTTAAGTCAGGGACATATCTTCTGATGGAGAGGGTATACATACTTAAGTCAGGGACATATCTTCTGATGGTGAGGGTATACATACTTAAGTCAGGGACTTATCTTCTGATGGTGAGGGTATACACACATTTAAATCAGGGACATATCTTCTGATGGTGAGGGTATATACACATTTAAGTCAGGGACATATCTTCTGATGGTGAGGGTGTACATACTTAAGTCAGGGACATATCTTCTGAGGGTGAGGGTATACATACTTAAGTCAGGGACATATCCTCTGATGGTGAGGGTATACATACTTAAGTCAGGGACATATCTTCTGATGGTGAGGGTATACACACTTAAGTCAGGGACATATCTTCTGATGGTGATGGTATATACATTTAAGTCAGGGACATATCTTCTGATGGTTAGGGTATACACATTTAAGTCAGGGAGATATCTTCTGATGGTGATGGTATACATACTTAAGTCAGGGACATATCTTCTGATGGTGAGGATATACATACTTAAGTCAGGGACATATCTTCTGATGGTGAGGGTATACATACTTAAGTCAGGGACATATCTTCCGATGGTGAGGGTATACATACTTAAGTCAGGGACATATCTTCCGATGGTGAGGGTATACATACTTAAGTCAGGGACATATCTTCTGATGGTGAGGGTATACATACTTAAGTCAGGGACATATCTTCTGATGGTGAGGGTATACATACTTAAGTCAGGGACATATCTTCTGATGGTGAGGGTATACATACTTAAGTCAGGGACATGTCTTCTCAGAATGAAGGTTTACACACTTTCAAGTCTAGGACATATCTTCTTGAGATGAAGGTATACACACATATATATCGCCAACAATTTTCCTGTCATGACTATAATGTTCTTATAGAAGCTGAGATACAGCTTACAATTTTGCTTCTAGTGAACATCTGATTGGATGATTCTAGTGAACAAATCCAAATGGCAGCTGTTTCTTTTGTGAGTTTATGTTGTCATAGTTGAGAAAAGTCTGATGACAGAATTAAGCAGATTGATTGTCAGAGTATATTGTTATTTGCTGATATATATTTTCTCTAGACATTCATACATCATTTATTTATTGAACGTTTCATGGGTTCAGCCTGTATGGTTTGAACTAACTCTTGGGTATTTTATGAATAATTGATTTCTATCACTTTCCAGGAGAGCATTTGTCTACTCGATGCAGACATCTTATAAATAATATAGTTACGTTGTTATTGCTTAACAGTGATTTATTGTAACATTATAATTGATGTTTTATAACTTTTCAGGAATTACTGCGGTTCAGAAAAAAATGGTTTCTGTTTTTCATGATGTGCTGCATTATGAACTTGATAATGCTACATCCTCTAAATGAAATGTGTTGCTGTGTTATATATTGAACATGGGTCTGAAAAAAAAAATGTTTCTATTCATTTCAGATATGGGTCTGTTTGGAGAATGTCCATCTCAAGACGAATTCTATCTTGTTGTTTGTGAAAAGTGTGACAAAGTTGTCAAACCTAAAGCATTCAGACACCACTTACGTAAGTAGTCTCAACAAAGATGCAGATGGTCATTTAACAAGATGAGTCTTATAGATTGCCAATAAAAAATGGGGAATTCCATATAAAATACCGTAGTCATGGGATGGTCACATGCTGGTACTTCTTACTTTCTCTGTCATTTACCGTCTTTCACCTTAATAAATATCTCTGCAAAAAGCAATGCAGAGTTTAACCAAATTTTGGTAGTAGTCCTATTTGGCCATATGAATGGAAATTTATGAGAAAAGTACTCTTCATGAAATCATTTTTATATAAACAAGTGGAAACAGTGATTAATTCTTGTACAAGTCCTGGGACAAGTAAGACATCCTGATATTGTCCAATTATTTTGACTTCAATGATGTCAATGGTAGCATCTTTAACACTGGTGGATCTGAAGACAGTAGGCTTATTTGAATGGTATCAGTGGTAGCTTCTTTAGCATAATTCAAATTGATAATAATGGTTGACATGTATTTGTTGAACAAGACACCAAAATTGTAAGGGAGCACCATTGCCTAGACACTGCCAACATACTCCTGAATATTGAATTCATAAAGAGGAGATATAAACAAAACTGAAAATATTGATCTTTGGATATGTCTGTTTCTAGAGTTCTTTGAAACAAAGAATGATAAACTAACAAATGAATGCAAATGGATAATTCTTGTACAAAAATTCATGACAGGTAGTCAGTGTAATTAATACAATTGATATTCCTTATCGTCTACCATTTTGTATGGAATATATTTTATGATGACTTACATAATGGTATGGTTATCACTTTGGATTGACTTCAACTTGAAACTTGTTAAAAACTTAAAAGATAAGAACATTTGGAAATGACTTCTTTTTGTCCATTTATAGCATTGTTTTGAATAAAAAGTAGGATCTATGATGATGGTATATATACTTGGATTAAATCTTTTGAATGTGATCATTGATGTTCTATAGTTCTTAGGTATTATTGTTATATAAATATTTTGCTAAAATTATTAGCAAGATTTATGATTTTCATACTTTAACTTCTCACAAATTGATGTGTTAAATGTTGTAACAGAATGCAACGTTGTGTTACAGGAAATCGCCATGGAGACTGTGGAATTCCAACCACTACCCAGCTGTTGATGCAGCGGTCAACCCATTCCATGTCCAAACTCTCGGCCACCAATCCATCTCCAACAAAGTCATCATCTGCTTTCAAACTAGGAGCCCCAGTGCCCACAAAGGCTAGTGTCAAAGAGGTTCCTGCTGCAATCAGCAATGCACAAAAAATGGGAGCAGCTCTAAATGCCAAACTTAGAAAGAACCACACAATGCCTGTGGTGAAAATGGAACGAATGGACCTGAACAAATACTCTGGCACACATGCTGAACCTACAGGCAAAGCTCCATTAACGAATGGGACGTTAAGTAATAGTCCTAATGTTAATATGACAGGCAAGACATTGACTGATAGTCCTGTCAAAGCAATTTCACCAAGCACACCTGTATCACAGTCAATGACGCTGGCCTCCCTCGTCGTGAGTAGTGCGTCGGTGTCGGTCGCTAGTGCCACCCTGACAACGGCTATGACAACATGTGTGACAACAACCATGACCACCTCTACAGCTCTGGCGCTGGCACCCTTTGTATCACCTTCTTCCTCTTCATTATCAAGTAGTAACATGGTGACCAGTAGTGTTACTAACAATTCTGTGCTCAGTGCCAACAGTAGTCTTAATAGTAGTAGTGGCAGTGAAGTCAGCCTCGGAAGTGTGCCGTCATCTCCAACACTAACTCCATGTAAACCCAGCACTCCTGCAGCCACTACTGTAAAAACAGAGCGCACTGGCAGTCTGACTTCAAAAACAGGAAACAGTGTCAGCAGCAGTGTTACAAAAACTGCCATTGTTAGCAGCATCATCAAATCAGCAAGTGCTAGTAGTGTGTCTAAGACTGGGAGCTTTGGTAGCCTTGCAAATGCTAGTAGTAGTGTGGGATCTCTAAGTAAATCAATCCGTAGTGGTTCGTCAGCCTGTAAGTCTGGTGGCAGCAGTAATACTAATGCCACCAAGAAGAAACCTGTCATACCTATTCACAAACCTGATAAACTAATCCCATGTAAAGGTAAGTGCTTGATAAAAAATTCTGATTTTTCCAAGTAAGATCTTTATACCTAAGGCTTTCTTGTGAACTGTCAAATTTAACCAATGTGGACTTTGGTAATGAATTTCAGATAAACAGGAAATTGTTTTCAGTGACAAAAATAAACATGTAACAAAATAGATCCTAACTCAGTTGTTTTCTCCATCCATGTGTGATTAAGAAATAGCACAGATGTATTCTACAATAACTGACTCAAAAGGATATAAGATTTACATATTATGGAAAATGTCCTAAATCTTAAGTATGGAGAAATATGAAATATACATATAAAATGTTTCCAAGATATATTGAGGTGGAAGTTTTACATTCAATTAAAGCAACATAACAATGAAAACTTTGTTATACAGGTTGTGTGGAATAACTGATTTCCTTCTTACTTGTGACTTCTACATATTTAGATTGTAACATTTTGCACAGGAAAATTGTCAAAATTATGACTCAATAATTTTAGAGTACTGGTGTGTACTTAGGTCATAGATGAAAAGAAGAAACCATTTTTATTTTTGTTTCATTGAAATAATCTTGTGCTTTTCATTTGCAGATCGTGAATTTGATGCAAACAAACATTGTGGTGTAGTTTTTGAAGATTCAGGCAAACCCTGCACACGCTCACTCACTTGCAAGGTAAGACCTCTATCTCAAAGACTTTCCTAGTACACCATTGATCAACACACTTTGTAAACTAATCATTATACCACAAAGTGTCAGCTAACATGGTGACTATCATCTGACATGGTGACTGACAGCTAACATGGCGACTGTCATCTGACATGGTGACTGACAGCTAACATGGTGACTGACAGCTAACATGGTGACTGTCAGCTAACATAGTGACTGACAGCTGACATTGTGACTGTCATCTGACATGGTGACTGTCAGCTAACATGGTGACTGTCATCTGACATGGTGACTGACAGCTAACATGGTGACTGTCAGCTAACATGGTGACTGTCAGCTAACATGGTGACTGTCAGCTAACATAGTGACTGTCAGATGACATAGTGACTGTCATCTGACATGGTGACTGACAGCTAACATGGTGACTGTCAGATGACATTGTGACTGACAGCTAACATAGTGACTGACAGCTGACATATAGACTGTCAGCAAGCATAGTGACTGTCAGCTGACATGTTGACTGTCATCTGACATGGTGACTGTCATCTGACATGGTGACTGTCATCTGACATTGTGACTGACAGCTAACATGGTGACTGTCAGCTAACATAGTGACTGTCAGCTAACATGGTGACTGTCATCTGACATTGTGACTGACAGCTAACATAGTGACTGTCAGCTAACATGGTGACTGTCATCTGACATCATGACTGACAGCTAACATAGTGACTGTCAGCTAACATAGTGACTGTCAGCTAACATGGTGACTGTCATCTGACATTGTGACTGACAGCTAACATAGTGACTGTCAGCTAACATGGTGACTGTCATCTGACATTGTGACTGACAGCTAACATAGTGACTGTCAGCTAACATAGTGACTGTCAGCTAACATGGTGACTGTCATCTGACATTGTGACTGACAGCTAACATAGTGACTGTCAGCTAACATAGTGACTGTTGACAGCTAACATAGTGACTGTCAGCTAACATAGTGACTGTCAGCTAACATGGTGACTGTCATCTGACATAGCTTACATAACATAAGATATCCAAAACAGATTGAAGTAGTCATATATATATCGAGATACCCACCAGTTGCTAATCATAAAGAAATGAAGCATTCATTACCATATGTGTCTTGGAATGAAGAAAATAAGCAACCAGGTGTTAGTAGTTATTATTCTAACAGGATTAGTCTTATGAACAGACAAGAAATTAAATATTCTCACTCATAGAGATAGTTTCTCATGGCTAACTTAAATGATTCAAAATAGGGAAATAACAATATCAGTAAAGTTTATACTACATTATCTGGTGTTGATTGCTTAAAAAAACATAGGAGTAATGTAAGTTCATTGGGCCTTTTTTGTATTTGGTGAATGGATGATGTGATGTTCTTGCTGTTTTTATTACTAATTAGAGGATTAAAATTTCATCATTCAGTAACAAAAATGGACATGTTTCGATTCTCTTTGCATAGTTATGTAAAGTTCTTTAAAACAAAGTTTCATGTCTATAATTTTGTAGACCCATGCACTGTCCCTGAGAAGGAAAGTGCCTGGAAGGAGAAAACCTTTTGATGAGCTGCTGAAGGAACATCGTGCTGCCAAAGAGGCCTTTCTGAAACAGAGAGCTGAGCAAAAGGCTGCTCAGCTGGCAGCATCCATGGTGACCTGTGGTGGCAACACTGTGAAGCCAGCACAGTCACATGGTGCCTCACCGTTAGTGCCACTTGACCGAGGTTTGACCATGGGTAAGGGTGGCCACCACAGCACTTCAGTAAACACATCCAAAGAGAGTTCTGTACAATCACGCCTACTCCATTCTGGGGCCATGTCTCCACAGAAGATCTCAAGGCCTGCTGTCATCAAACCAAACAATATCTGTCTCGCCAGGTCTGTATTGCTAGTTAATTTGAAATTTCTGTCTTATGGTTATGTGGGAATTTTCCTATTTTTACTCAAATTTTAAAAATAATTCAGCTATATTTTTGTGAGAAGCTATTGGTTTTGACTCAAGCAAACCTTTCACCCTTGGAATATTTATGAAGATATTTGATTTCATGTGTATCCATGAATGAGAGGTGGTGTGTGTACCCATCCCATCCTGATTCAATGCCATCACTAAAGTAACTATTTTCTTCAAACATTTCATTCAAATTTTATGTGAAGGTCGACTATGAATATACTAGGGATGAACTGTTTAAGGGTTCAAAAGTTAAAACCGCAGCAACTATCTACCGAAATTTAACAAACAGTGTCAGCTATATGCATGGAAGGGGAGACAATCCTAATTTACCAGTAATTTTCAAGTGCACAGTAGCAGATCTAAAATAAACTAAATTAATCACTCTAAACATAGTCATTTGACTTACAGCCATACACTCTTTATTTAAACATTGATATTTTCTATTCAGTAGCTCAGGAGGTCTACACTCACCATTGGCATCTGCCCATCGAGATGATGTCGGGCCATCATTAATCCCTGCTGCTGACACCCAAAGTAGACTTAGTGATGGGGAAGGGGAAGAGGAAGATGGAGAGATGGACAAACCTGACCGATCCTATCTCCCCTATCATCCCCGTCCAGCAGCTGTATGTATCAGATAACTCAAAGTTATAACTGCTGGTTAATTTGTGAAGTGTACTTGTTGTACTTTAGACCAAAATATTGTATATTCTGTTCACTTTTAATGTTTCCCTTGTCAAAGTAAATATCTAAATTGATGAATTGTTCACATCCTGAAAGTTCACACAGTTTAATAGCCTGTAATGAATTGCAATTTTGTAAATTACTATTTCTGTTACTAAATGACTACATCTATTAATTTTTTTTATGGAAATTCAAAGTGTGAATTTATGATTTTTTTAAAAGAAGGTACTTAGTGGATTACTCACTAGCAGTTGATACATGAAAATAGTTAAAAAATTTATATGGAAGTCCAATAAGGTGTTGTTTTTCTTGGACAGACTTGTACTTTTGGTGCCCGCCATCATACCTTCCACAGTAGGGGATGTAATGTGTTCAACAGACGTGTAGATGTGCTTCGTGCAGCTTTCCTTAAAGTGTTGGAGCGTCAAATCAACCCACCACCGCCAAAGTAAGTCATTCTTATCTTTACCATATCAGTGCTGTAGTTTGGTTTGGCTGATAATGCTTAACATCATTTTAACATCTATTGTCATTTTATGGATGGTTCATTCTATCACTGACAATCATTTCTGTTGTTAATACTGTTGCGATTAGTTGTAGTTTTTTCTCTTTTCCCCAGGAAACTTTGTGTGGAATCCAATTTACCAAAAGAACCTCAATTCCTGTCAAATTCCAAAGATCCTTACGAGTTTAACCTCATTGACAGTGCCATGGGTGGAGCGACACAGCACTCCAATACTGTAGTGAATTCTACCATTGTAAACAAAAACAATGTGAAACCAAAATCTAAGCCCTCCAGTAGCAGCAGCAGTCGTAACAAATCAAGGGAGGGTGCAGCCACTAACTCTGGGGGCTCACGTAGCCCCGCCCACTCAGGAACTTCTACTCCTAGTAGTACAGGGGCTGTGAAACGTAAACGTAGTGGGAGTGGTGGCCCTACCTCTAGTCCATGTACCACCTACAATAATGTCATAAGTGGCAGTGCCATGACCATCAACTCAACTGCACTCAACAGTCATACCAATAGTAGTCCCCTCACTGCCATAGCCATCCCCAGTGTCAATCTCAGCTCCGCTACTCTCAGTCATTTTAATGCCAACCTGGCTGGCAGCAAAAACCCAAAGAATAATGTGCTGAAGGACTTTGGACTAGTAGTGCGCAGTATAGATCCTTCAGCAATAGTAAATGGCCAGTATGTGTTAGGAGGAACAACTGCTCAAATCATTGACGAAAAAATGCTTCAACAGACTCACATTATCTCTGGTGGGAACAAGGGAAACCAAGCGAAGTTGGTCAATAGCCTTGATGCATTACAGAAAAACAACTTGATACCTGCAAATGCTATCCTTGTTGACAGTCCTATGCAACCAGGGACAGTGCTTACACCAGTTTCTGTGGGCTCTATAGGGTCTGTGCCAAGCAATACAGTCATATCCCTAGCCAATAGTTCCATGTCTCAGGCTCACCCTAGCCCCTCAACAACTCCAAGCCCACTCTTCAGATCAGTAAGTAAATGGCAGATATCCTGGTTTGTTTTGATTTTTGTTTGATATACCAGTATTACCAGTAAGGTCAGATATAAGTTAAAATGTTTTGGTTTTTAAAAAATTAACAATTTGGTAATTTGCTGAAGATGTACATCAACATGATTTGAAATTTCGTGTAAACTCCACAAAGTACAAGGATATTAGGAGCTTTTGTCTAGTGAGGTCATTAGCAAGCAATGATTAAAATGTAAGCATTTTAGAGTATCAGGATATTTCAGAGACAGTTTGCAATATATATGAACAGATAGATGTTGCTTTATGTAATTATGAATGTAATGTATAATGCCATTCATTGATTGTTAAAGCGATGCCTAAGTATTTGATATTGATCAGGGAGTCAAATAGTATTTACTGCTGATATTCAACAAACCAGCACTGAATATGTTATTGTTACAGGGTTCTCTAAGTCCACAAGTTTCTTCGCCTTTGCCAAATGGGATCACTCAATCAGTGACAGGTAGGTTTATTTACATATCTTAATGCAGCAAGTCATTCTTTCTGTAGCTGTCTCCTGCAGGCTTCAAGAATTCAAGTTTGCTTTCTTACAAACTTAATTCTGCTACATGATGAAAAAGAATGACTAATATTGGATGGTATTCAATGTTTTTTTTATCATTATTGGTTTCTTGACTCCTGAAAACACTTATCAAGCATAGGAATTATTATTAATATCAAATGAAAATTCTGTTTGTCCTTTTGTGTTCCTACATACAATGAATGATGCGTTTCTTTATGTACAAAGAAGTATATTGCTAGATTTTATGATGGATTTTCATAGAGAACTGTTACATTTATTATGTAAAATGAGATGTTCATGTTTATTTGAATTACCTGCAGTTTGTTCTAATGTATTCGCTATTCAGCAAACATTGTATCAATGTAGTGGTTTATCAACGTCTTGTAGACCTTTGATATTTCCTGTTTATTTTGCAGATAAAAACAGCAGTAGTCACCGCCACACCTTGATTCACCACAAGGGACCACAGATGATGGCCCAGTCAGCACTGCCTGGTGTGTTCTCCACTGCTCAAGTCATCACTTCAAACAACAACCCACAAGTGTGTGCTAGTCATGTCTTCACGCAGCTCGCTCAGCTTCAGGTCAAGCCTGGTGCCAAGCCTGGGCCTAACAAGGTCACCATGCAACCTGTGTCCTTGACCTTTCCATTGGCAAACCTGGGAACAGTGACAGGTCAGCAGCCTCAGACACATACCCTATTTATTACGAGCAGTGACGACGGTACTCGACATGAACTACAGCCAGTATCCAACTCCCCATCTAGTCTCATGTCCTAGCCCAGGTTCTTTACTCAAAGCTATTCTCATAACTTTATTGTGTGGCCATACTCTTTTTTTTTTTTTCTTTTTAATTCTCTGAAATATCTCGACCTCAATTCCAGGCCTATTTCATGAGCAGATTACCTTTTAAGTAATGAAGAAATAAGTAATATGGTGATATGTATTGATTCAACATTGAATGTCTTTGTGTAATGCTTTGATTTTTTAGAATTTTTTAACCAAGAATTGACTACGCTTTTTTTTTAGGTATTATGTTTTGAAAAGTTAGGAATTATTGTGTCAGTAGTTTGTTAATCACAGGATGCAGTAAGTACATCAAACATTTGTTGAAAACTTGATGTTCAGGTAAACTGTGGCATTTGAAATCAATATTGTTTTAAAATTGTAGTCCAGAATGAAACAGAATTACTGCCATGTTTGTTTCACAGTTCAAAACATTATTTGTGTAGCCTGATTATTGTAAGTGACGATCACAACTTTGAGGTGACATCTTCTTGACTAAAAAAGAACCTATAACAACACATCTAGCAATGAAAATAGAATTCCAAAAATTATCCTCCAGCTGAAGTGCTGTTACTGTGAAGAAACAATTCATATAGCATTCAGGATATTTGTAAATTTTGAAATAATTGATCTTCAAAGCATGTATGACAGTCATGATGATAAAATTTTCTTCCTTGGCTGTCAGTTGTTCACTCAATCAAAACACATAGACATCAAAGGTAATAATTCAGAGTGATATGTTTTAAAAGCTGTCTGCTCAAAGGAAATTACTCATTAAATTTGCGAACACAAAAGTGTTTACACAGTGGTCACTGCAGTGTGCTGTTAATGTAATGTCGGTATCTGCCTGTTAAACTGATACTTGGTAAAATTACTGTATATTATATTTTCAATCTAAATTATTGTTGGAAGTTCAACATAACCTTGACCTTGTTTTGTAATATGACTTTGATAAAAGACAAGACTGGAAATAGTTTGTATCATTTCTCCTCTCATGTTCAGTTATGTATGGTACATAAAGAATGCAAAAAGAAATAAATTTTATAAATTCAAAATTCTATTGATTTCTTTTTTGGAAAATTCAGACTTTTTGGGTAAGTCATGCTTTGCATAAGGTATGCCTGATTTAAGAAGCACCTTATACAACAACCTGAAGTGTCACCAAGACTTTCTTTGAAGTATATACTTTTTTGTCCTTCCTGTATCACTGTAGATATTTTTTTTGTTTTAAATAATTGCGATGTCTGAATCCACTCCAGAAAGTTACTTCTCTTCATCTTCAGCAATAAATAGGGTGATTATGACACTTTGACAAGAATCAGGAAGTCGTGGTGTAAGGTGACAAGAATCAGGAAGTCGTGGTGTAAGGTGACAAGAATCAGGAAGATGTGGTGTAAGGTGGCTACATGCATGTAGTCAGTGATTAATGTCAAAATATTTAAACACTTGATGTTTGGATTGTATGCTGAAGAAAGTTTGTAGTTATCTCCCATCTTTGATCTTCATTTCTGTTGAAACTTCAATTTACTGCTGTGGGAAAAAAAAACACAAGTGATCCCATATTCTTATTCTTATCTGTGATATTGTCAGTATTGGAATGACAAGGATGCAATTTTTCTTTCTTTTTTTTTTTTTGTTTTTTTGTTTTTTTTCATTTTTCATATCAAAAGATTTGAAAGGCAACATAAATGTAATTGATTACAGTGTTTGAGGATGAATAACATGTAAATATCTGTATTTTGATTTGTGAATATCATCCTTACGTATGGAAACTCTCATTACACAATTTATTGTTTAAAATCATTTTTCATCTGCTCCATATTTATTTAATGAATGTCTTTCTGTATTTAAATAGAAAGATGAAAATATATACTGTTAGCCAGCATTCTGTTCTGCTCCTTATGGTCACCATATCTGCATCACTAAAAATTTACAGTGATTTGCTTATGTGAAAGAGTCTATATTATGCTATACTATAGCATATGTTATCCATGTTTTAACTCACTGCGATTAATGTTCATGGGCTTGTTTCAATTATGAAAGTAAATCGCATGCAAAAGAAAGATGGTTTACATTATTTTGTGATTATGCTGTTGTTTCATGTAAATTAATACAAGGTTTCTCTTTCAGCTATCCCAACCTGTCAAAATTTGTGTGTATTTATGAAGCTTCCTTAAATACATTAAATTGAAATACTCTTTATGCTGATGTGATCTCCAGTTTACCCCTATTCTTTTCAGGTTAAAAATTACAAAGATAGCTAGTAATTGTGATGCCATATGGAAGATAACAGTTGTGTTGTCACCTTCAGGAAACCTGATTCTCTGCCATATAGAGAGAAATAGCAGATATTGTATAGCGTTTATCCTTATTGACAACAGATCAGTATTACTGCACAGTTAGATGTTGGTACCTAACAAGGCTGTTTATCTGTAGCACAGTAATACTCATTTCAATTGGCGACTCCGAGACATAGTATTAAAGTTAGGAATCGCCTTCCACTTTTCACTACAATAAACAACGAAATGCCGTATTTCTAGTCAGTATGTTTTGAATTCATCATATCTGGATTATAAAAACCTTGGGAAGCCACTCTGATTTTAGAATTAATAAACTCTTAGTATGCACAAACTCAGGTTTGTAGATCTGTCAGAAACCGAGAGTAAATTAGATGCTTTTGTAGGGCTTAAACTTCATAGAACACTTTAAAGATAAGAAAGTTCAGGTCAGATGCTAGCATGTGTGCTAGTACCAGTTTTTATAAGATAAGTGTTTTTGCTAATTTTTCTGTGATGTATAAGTAATGGTAGCTATCGACTGAGTGACATGCTGATTCCAGAGATTATAATCAGAATGCTTGAAGATGTAAAGAGAAAAGCTAGACTGACAGATGTGTTATTGTGTGTGTGACGACATATGTGGGTGCATGTCTGTTGTAGGAATTATAAGAATAAATGAAAACACTTTTTTTTCAAAACCTTGATAAGAAGGTAAAAATGCAATCTCTTTGGTTTCATCACATTTTGTTATTTGTTCTACTTTTCAGTGCTGTTTTCATATCTAACCTTAGTTTGGATAGTTAATATAATAGATTCTGGCTGCACAGTTTTATTCAGTTGATAAACAACAGACTAGTAGTTGTCTCAGAATCAGATAACATGTATATATGAATGTAGATTTCTGTGTTATAAACAAATCAACACTGCCAGAATGTAAGGTCTCAGAAAACTTATCAGATTTTCATAACCATTGTTATTTTTCTTTGTACTCAAAATGAAACATATACTTTTTGGTCAGCATTGCTAGTGTTGACTTTGACATAATTGATGCAAGAGTAAGCATGCCACAGCCTACGCAATTTTCTCTTTTGAACTTAAGAACTGTCAAGACTTTTCTATTTTAACAGTATTCATATTGTTAAAGATGTCCAGCTGACATATCAGTGAGGATTTGTATGGTTGAACTTGAGCTGTGTGTGATAAGCATGTATTGATTTTAGTTACCCCTTCACCCCAGTGATAGCGGCGTGAAGGTTGTATGTCATGTGATAGGCCCAAAGGATGGTAGAAAGCTACACTTAAGGGGTTGATTTCTCTGTATAACATATGAATGGAACTTGGATGTATATAATTTGTATTTAGTTCTTATCCACAACATGCTCGGCTCATTTGTGGCCAAGAAAAATTGAAGGGTTGTTCAAAATTATGTGATAATGGAGTTTAAAGGGAAAAAAGAAACATTTTTACTTTAAAATCGATTTAAGCTTACACTTAAAAAACTTTTTTTTTCTCTTTTTATTTTGAGTCTTGAGAAAATATCAAAGTTTGCAGAATGATATTTTGATTGAAATCTTATGTTATGTTTTATTCTAAATCACTTTAAAAAGAATATATAATTTGTCAAAAGTTTTAAGTTGATGTAATTGACTTCATTCAAACTTCCATTGTTGTATTTAATGTCTCCACAATATACAAGACCTATTAACCTAGGGATTTTTCGTAGCCACAAAATATTTACCATAATACAAGATAAGATTTTTGTCAGTACAAGATATTTGCCATAATGAAAGATAAACATTTTTTGTTAGTACAAAATATTTATCATAATAAACGATAAATTCTTTGTGGTAAGTATTTACAGTATTAAAGCTATTTTTTGTTAATTAATCACAACATCTATATTTTCTTTTCTTAATGTATCAAAATATGGTCCATGAGGATTTCTTATACAAAATGTAAAAAGCTCCCTGGTATTCACTGAGCACTGTTTGAAATTGTTTTGAAATATTTAAATGCACTAATTTGTTGTTTAATGAGTGCTTCAGATGGTTTTATCATTTTCTAAACAACCAGAATAGCTTATTAACTACTTGTTTTCAAAAAGAAGTCTTAAATACCAGAAATATTTTCTGTGTCCTGCTTCTTGTATTGTTAATATAAAGTTAACTCAAGGGAATATAACCTTAAATAAAGATAAGGTGTATTAAATATGTAATGATCTTGTTTATGTTTCATTGAAGCCTAATATGATGCCCATGTCAAAATTAAAAGATTTGTAATGCTTCTTCTAAATATATTTACGCTTAAAGTGTTAAAAAAGACATTGGGAATTCTCGAAACTGGAGGGGGAAAATTCTTGAATCTTGTAAGCTGAAGTAACTGTCTGCTTCCTGTATTTCTTTAACTGATTCTATATACATCCTGATGATACATTGTACCTGTATTTCTGATTCTATATACAGCCCGATGATACATTCTTCCTGTATTTCTGATTCTATATACAGCCCGATGATACATTGTTCCTGTATTTCTGATTCTATATACAGCCCGATGATACATTCTTCCTGTATTTCTGATTCTATATACAGCCCGATGATACATTGTTCCTGTATTTCTTCTATATACAGCCCGATGATACATTGTTCCTGTATTTCTGATTCTATATACATCCCGATGATACATTCTTCCTGTATTTCTGATTCTATATACAGCCCGATCATACATTGTTCCTGTATTTCTGATTCTATATACAGCCCGATGATACATTCTTCCTGTATTTCTGATTCTATATACAGCCCGATGATACATTGTTCCTGTATTTCTGATTCTATATACAGCCCGATGATAC